TTAGAAAGCTCCAAAAATGCTCAAGAAGTGTGATTCCCTTCACACTTCTTTTTTGCTTACATTACTCCTTGCGTGCTGAACTTAGAAAGCTCCAAAAATGCTCAAGAAGTGTGATTCTCTTCACACTTTTTAGCTTACATTACTTCTTGTGTGCTGTATTACTCAACAGAGCACAGAAAAAGTCATTTTATTTTCTTTGAATATGTCATTGATTCCTCACAATTCCAAGCAACACCATAGAGCTGTCTCTTAATATTCTATCGATTACAGAATGTGATGGTGTCTCATTATAAGAAGTGCAAAACTTCTCAAACTGCATAAACAGCTTCTGATATCTCTCATTACTGAAGGCATCTTCATTTACTTTCACTTCTCTTGAATTTCTGTTTTGTATGAGCTCAGTTTTTAGATGCAAGAGAGTAGAAGCTTTATCTGTTCTTGGCTGTGATACTTGATAGCACTTCAGCCTCATATAATAAGCAAGGGCTACAGAATTAATGAATTTTGAATCCTTAAGAGACAAACCATTGAAGTATTCATAAAGTCCTTGATCATGTTTTAGAGCTTCTAAGTGTTCTGGGACACAAATCTCAGTACAAATACAAGCATCACCAATCTCCATCACAAGGTCTTCATCATTCAAAATTTCCTCAACTTCATCTAAAACTTGAGCTGCCTTTCCAAGATTGTTGTTCATGTAATGAAACTGTGCCAAATACACTTTACTGCTTAACATCTGGTCATCAAAACCATCTGGGAAGACTAGCTCTAGTCCGTTCTTGTAGTAGCTCTCTGCATCTTCTAGTAAAGTTGTCTTTCTATCCTCATCTTTGGTATACAGTGCTTCAATATGACAAATGTTACCCAAAGCTCTGTAAAGTGCTTGCTTATAACATAAACAAAAGTTTGCCTCCTTGACGACATTTGATATATTTGCGATAACTGCCATGAGAGCATCTATTTTGGTTTCCAATGAACAACCCCTCGGGAAAAAATCAAAAAGGTCAAAGAAATTTGGGTCTAAAAAGTTCTGGAGATCATTTCTAATGTCTCTTCTGTATTTCTTTTGATATAATGAAGTTGAGCTTGAAATATTAGCAATTCCAGCTTCCATAAGATCTTGTATTTGACAGGAATCAAGTGCTTCTAAGGTGGTTACCACATCTCTGTACAAACCATCTCTGGTTTCCTTACTTGCAAGTCTATCTTCTGTATCTTTGAGATTTAATCTTTCAAACACAGAATCATATTCTCCCTTTATTCCTAGTGGAAGAGAACAAAAAACAGTATACAAGAGATCTTTCGTGATGCATGCCAATTCCTCTGCAAGTTGACAGCACTTGTCAGCATTCAAATGCGCAATCATGTTGTTCTCTGGGATAAAGTAGTTGGGAAAATTGTGCGTTTGGAAGAATAAGCTCATCTTCTTCAGTACAAAAGCAATACAGTTCAAAACATTACTCTCTTCCCAAAAGCTCTTATCTTCTTCTTCAATGCTCCAAAACAAAGCAGTTTTAAAGAAATATGAGCAAAGGAGCTTTTGCTCTTTGTAAGAATGCAATATTTCACCCAGAAGCTTTAGGAAAGTGTAACAGTTGTACTGGACTGAATTCAARGTTCTAATCAGGCTTTTCTCAATCAAAGAGAACGAAAGTCTCCATTCTAAGTCTTTTTCGGGGCTTGTTGGGTCGCCGATGGGAACATAGTAACACCCATTTTTTTCAATTTGAGAAACCATTTCGTAACTCAACCAGTGAAGAACTCGTGTTTTGAAGGCTTGGAAAACGTTGTGTGGCCATTGTGGTGATTTTAACGTAGAAACAACGTCGTTTTCTGTGTGAACTTCTGAAGCCTTTCCTATTAAAACGGCTGGACCGTGTGTACCTTCAGCATTGCTTGCTTCAGAAACCGTTTGGGCTTGTTTTTGGATGAACAAAAAACTAGAGAGATAGTATTTTCCATTTACTATCCTGGCACAGTCCATAAACGGAAAAGATTCGGGGTTGACAACAGATAATTTTGCAAAACCAGGTTTTATTTGGTCTGTCATTGACAGTAATTCAAAACCTTGCGTTTCAATATCGCCACTTTCTTCCTGCTTCACTGTTATGGAGGTATCTAAGAGCATAAAATCGATGTCTTTACTCCACACCATTCCCTCCCCTAGACCTCCAGTCAATAAAAACCTTTGGTATATCTCTTTCGTTGTACAAAAGTCGCCAATCGCTTCCAAAATATCACTCACACATTCTCTAGAAGTTCTTTGACAAAAATGTAGGTTGAAGATTGTAGAAACGAATTTATTCGTTGTTGGTGTTAAAAGTTTACCTCTGCTTAAGTCTTCTTCCAAATTTTCGGTTTCCATATTCGATTGAAATGAAATTAAACAACTGAAAAGAAATAAAAACCCAGTCGTATGTCAACTTAATGTTTTAGACAATTCCAAGAAGCCATTAAAGTGCTTGTTTCTTGGAAGAGGAAACAGTTTCTTCGCTTCTTTAGGCAATAAAGGTAGCCCACTCCTAAAAACCCCAAAAATATGGGTGAGTGGATGGACAGACAGATAGACGGACTTTAGAAGGATGAAAAAACAGATGAACAACCCTATTTAACCCTTTTTTTTAATACTTCAGCCAAGGACAGCTCAGGAGTTGCTTGGGATGTTGGAATTTGGTAATAACAACAGGACTCAACATCCTACCGATGCTAATGCCCAGTCCTCTCGATCTCACGCCGTTTTCCAGGTATAGCCTTGTAATCTTTGTGCGCATGGGTGGGAACTCGGGGGGGGGGGGGGGGGGGGGCGTTTTATTACCCAATTATATTAGCTATACGGTATTTTGCCGCAAAAAACAGTTTTATCGATACCATGAAACAACCTCTGGGCTGATCTAAGTCAGGGCATGGCTAACAGATTGAACCCTGAAACAACCTCTGAGTTGATCTAAGTCAGGGCACGGCTAACTCACAGATTGAACCCTGAAACAACCTCTGGGCTGATCTAAGTCAGGGCATGGCTAACTCACAGATTGAATCATGAAACAACCTCTGGGCTGATCTAAGTCAGGGCATGGCTAACTCACAGATTAAACCCTCAATCTACTTCTGGGTTGATCTAAGTCAGGGCACCCTTGATTTGTCTAAATGCTTCTATTCAATTTTGTTTTTCACCAGGTATTTGTTCGTCAGAAAGACAGAACAGCAGGACTGCAAGCAAACGTACGATTAGCCAAGATGTCGTTAATCGATCTGGCAGGATCTGAGAGAGCTCATGTGTCGACTAACCGAGGTGCCAGGTTCCGCGAAGGAGCGAATATAAACAAATCATTACTAGCGCTTGGTAACTGTATCAACGCATTGGCTGATAAAGAGGTAAGAAAAGTACGAAAGAGTCTATACGAACGTGGCCGGGACGTGTGTGTTCAAAGTATGCAGGGGTAAGGGCAATCTCGTGCCCACAGCCTGCGTTTCATCTGGCCTGCGGCGAAGAACGAGGGCTCTGGCATAATCCATTTTTTGAGACCAGGATTTCTTGGACTTCCGGTATAAGGGCGCATACGTTAAAAGACTTGACAAAAAAAAAAAATGTTCACGTTTTCTAATTTTTATTTTGTTCGGAAGTAAACATAGAAGTCTGTTTGAAAGCATGATTTTCATTGATTATATTTCACTTCCGGAAAATTGAGTATACGTCAAAAAATGGATTATGCCAGAGCCCTCGTTCATCGTCGCAGGTCACTAGAAGAAACGCAGGCTCTGGTTACGAGATTGGGGTTAGAGGGCAAAGAAAGGGCAAGACTTTTGCAATAAGCGATAATTCAGCGAATTAGATCATATATAATGTATTTTTGCGCTATAGAAATATTAAACTTATTAAATTATTATTCTGGCGAAATATCGTGCACTCGTTGCGCAACATTTTTCAATATGAATTAAAAACCCCTTCAAATTTTGTAAACCCTGAAACAACCTCTGGGCTGACAGAATTTCGTATAGCTTATGTCCCTCCTATTATGATTTCGCGCGCAACTATTTCTTTAATCTTATCAGTCGACAAATTTCGCTTCAGTATCAAGTATTCCTTCTTCCTTTACCCATTAGAACAAAGCTGGTCACATCCCGTACCGTAACAGCAAACTAACAAGACTTTTGAAAGATTCCCTTGGTGGTAATTGTAGGACTGTTATGATTGCAGCGATAAGGTATGTAGTGAAGTCCCGTATCAGTATCCCGCGAGTAGCGGGACAAAAAAAGATTTAACGTGTTAATAATTCTCTAGATTTCTAGTATGTGAACGCATGAGAATTTTATAAGCCGGTTATTATTATGAACAGACGTTTTTTGACTGAGGCTGCGTTCATGTATGGCAGGGGAGGGGGGGCAGGTGAAATTGAGGGGGGATCGGTAAAATTTTGGTAGGAAAAGGGGGGGATGGGCAAATTTTTATCAGAAAAATGGGGGGGATGCACAATTTTTGGAAGAAACTACAAGTCTTGCTTAGGGGGGATCCTATTTTTTTTGCRTAACTTCAAGGGGGGTGTTAAGAATTATTCTGGACATTTCAAATTTTCACCTGCCCCCTCCCTCTGCCATACATTATGAACGCAACCTTAGTTACAAATTGTTTTACGTGGACAGAGGGATTTTAAAATACGTGGTTTTAACTTCAACATTTTTTCCCAGTCCTTCCCGTCTTAGCTACGAAGACACCTACAACACTCTAAAATACGCTGACAGAGCCAAAAGCATCAAAGTCAAGCTGTCAAAGAACGTTGTCAGTGTGGACTGGCACGTTAGTCGTTATGCTAAGATAGTCGATGAACTGAGAACTGAGGTAAGATAGGCAATAGAGGATTGGAGAGACACAATTTGATGGGGTTGGGGTGGGGGTGGGGTTGATGGCTCGCACCCTATCCAAAGCCCCCCTGGATATACTCTTGATGGAGGAATGCAGGTGAATCTAAAACCCTATGAAAGCTTCATAAAATCGTTTTGAAGATATGCTCGCTGACTAGCCCGTGTACAGCCGCTTCACAGCCCTCACCCCTGCAGGGAAAAACGTTTTCTCGTGAATGGAGGGATGGGAATCGGCTGTACACAGGCTATAGCTGACATACACATATAATTTTAGATTATAGAGCTCAAAGATAAATTGAGTCGGTACGAAGAAGCTGGTATGGCCACGAAGACGCCTTTGAAAAACGATAAAAGATTGCAGATGGACAGGTAAGTTTAGTGTTTATAGTTCGACCCCATTGAGCTGCGCCACTTTGGTTAGTACGTAGTGCAAAATTTGGCCAAGATTGGCAACTAGCATCAAACATTGTCAAAGTAACCGCGATTGTGGACGTGACGTTATAATAGTTATGGAAGTCATTTTGATGTGACCAAAGGCGGATCCAGGGGGAGCAAAGGGGGGCTGAAGCCCCCCTTCAGCAGAAAACAAAACAAAGCTGAAGAATTAGATGCTTTTTTTATTGTTTTACGTCGTGTTGACGGAAGAAACTATATTAACTTCCCCCTAAAAATTTTGGCTGGATCCGCCCTTGGTGACAATATGAAAAAAAAACAATTGACATCCTTCGAGAACAAAAGTTTGTAGTTTGTCGTCGAAAATGATAACAGAAATTGTCTTTTTTCTCAGCTTAAAGACAACGTTTCAGAGCATCATGAGTGAGAGAGCCATGATCAAGAGAGATATGGTAGACATCGAAGCCGCGCAGAGGGATTTATTGATAAAGGCTTACAGAAAGGTAAACTATTAGCCTATTTTCAAAAAATGTAGCAAGCCGTTGATGTCATGTATTCATAAAAGTACTATGACTCAAGGGTAATACAATAGATGGAACAACAACAGAATACAATAGATTTTCTGAATACACCTAATTGAAAAAAACGTAGTCGGGTTCGAGGTTATATCATCGAAGCTAAGACCGAAAAGGATTTTGGGTACTCCGAAATGTGTATTATATTTGGATATCGACATGTAAAAATGCACAGTAGAGCAAAGTCGGTCGACCTAAATTAACAACATGCCAAAGCCATGATGCATAAAATGTGCACAGGAAGGGATAACTGCAATACACATTAGCATAATTGTTTGTATTCCCATGCTCCCCTTCGGTCTTAGCTTTGATGATATAGCCTTTTTTTGAACCCGACAACGTTTTTTCAATTAGGTGTATATAACATCAACTGAGTGCTAGGTAGGTTCTCCCACGTCTCAATACTTTTACTTCATCCTATATTGCTGGTTTGAAATCATTCCCAAGAGAATGAAATAACAAAAGATATGGTGGCCATGTTGGATGATGTAACAAAAGAGACTAATGACGAATCTTTCGTTAAATTCATTCAACATGGCGGCTGTGAAAACCATCAATTTGTGTAAAATGGATGCATTTGTCTTCGTGATCAAATAAGGCAGTGGTACTCAAGACAGACCAGAATGCACCACGTCTATTACACCAGCAAAACCATATCATAATTCGAATACCAACGAAAAGAGAAATTCCCTCAGCCATAGTGCGCCGTACCAGAAATAACTGCGCCAAGCTGAATATTTTTCCTTTTTTAACAGGAGAGAAACCTTGAGAGAATTCAACTCCTGTGCCTCGACGGAGAACAACGTGAAACGGTATTTATACTCAATTTTTTTCTAAACCACTTATTTACAATCTCCAGCAAAAAAAAAACGAGACACTTCCCGGCACTTGGAAATGGATGAAATGAGGATCAAAAATAACAGATAATAAATAATTTTATTATATAATTACCAATGAAATATCTATTTTTCTCTATTTCTTAAAATTGATATCTTCACACGTGAAAATAACATGTTATTTTCACGTGTGAAAATAACACCATTGCGATGGCTATTCAAAAATACACGGAAAGAATTGCCCGAAAAAGCCAAAACATACTTCATTGATAATTATATAATAAACAGAATATTACATGGCCGCTTGGAGATACGAAATTTATCTTCTCGTGTTGAAAATCTCTCACGAGTGAGCTGCGCTCACTCGTGAGAGATCTTTTCAACACTCGAAGATAAAATTCGTATCTCCGCGCGCTCATGTAATATCCTCTATTTATCATCTACGCATGCGAAGAAAAACAGACGTGCGGATGTGAATGGCGTCCGCGGTTTCAAAATCCTCCACTCTAAAGAGCGTTTTCATTTAAAATGCTCAGCGTTTTCGATCGTTTTAATGTTGACGCAAGGATAAACGCATTTTAAGTATGCGTTTTCAAACGATAACGCGTAAGTGTGGACGGGACCTAAATCTATGTTTTGAAATCATTTTAGGCGGTGAAAACCCAGAAGAAAAAGCTAGAGACAAGAATAATGGAGGCCAAACAAAAACTAAAGCAAAACACAGAAAGTCTTGATCAAGTGATAGCAGAAATGAAAGGTGTCGCAGAAACAAGTAAAGAACTTGAGGAGGATTTCTTACGCTGCCAGGCCTCTTCGAAAATGGAGTTGGAATGTGCAGAGCTTCGTCGCCAGTGCCGTTATTTTAAGAAATTCACGCATGCGCAGGAGAAGGATGCGCAAAATACCGAAAGGTGCGTGATGTATTATGGGTAAAAATATTAATATTGTTCCGAGGTCGCAATCAGCGGAATGAATAATTAAATAAAATAAATATGCACGTGCCCTTATAGCTTTATGTTTTCCGACAATGTCATGGAAACGCCTTGTGATTGACGTCTACCAAAACCTTCTTCGTCGCGACAGAAATAATCGCAAGAGGGCGCGTGTGATTGAGAATGGCTGTAAACAACTTGCATCTGTATGCAATAATTGTCCATTTTTAACTCGTTTCAGGATTCTTGCTAAAGTTCTTACAGCCTTCAAGAACCAGTTTTTCCTGATTAAAGGCGCTGGTCTTGCGACTCGGGAAATAGACAATGAGTATGACTCTATAGTCAAGTTAGTTACCGGTGGCCGTGAGGTATCATGGGCTGATGTCTCTGAAAATGACAATCTGGATTTGTCTGCCTTGCACTCAATCACTAATGGTAATTATCGTAAATATTGGTAGTACATTTTAAATGCTTTGAAAAAGGGTTCATTCAGATTTAATCGATGCCATGAGATGTTGTAGGGGGCTTAATGTTCTATTGTGTTATCATCTGCCTTGGGCAAATTGCTTAAATATTTCAATTGTATATTAAAATAAATAAGTTAAGACCTCTAGACTGATGAAAGTCAGTCAAAGCATTGCTTACTCTGAGGCGGAACGAAAAACCTGATAACCTGCAGAAAAACTTTATTATCTAGAGAGAGTCCAAACAAACTCCACTCGCATGGGATGGAGACTCCAGCAATTGAAGCTGAGATATTAGAGGTGATGGAAGAGCGTACTAACACAACGCTGAGCCTTGATTACTGATCTTCCTAGACCCTCTTCCTGTCTTTCTAGGTAAAAAACAGCCCCTTGAATTCAACTTGTATCTCTTGTTCCCTCGCGTAATAAAAACTACAAAATTTCTTCAGAAATTTTGATTCTCCATTTTATCTTTCAGATGCAACGCTTATCGAGACCACTAAATTTGATACTCCCACAACAACTATCTTCACCACTCTCCACAAGAAAAGCAATTTAAAACCAATGACGCCAAGAAACATCAGCAGGGCAGTTGTCACTCCAATCAATCCCGTTGCCAATAGCAACCAAAATTCTCCTGAGATTGATGATCCACGTGTTTCATTGAATCAAGCATTCGAGGCTGCAACCACAAGGACAACGACGACACCATTGTTGCCGCAACGAGGAAATATGAACGAGAAAGCAATGATGGGTGAAAATGCACGCAGTACTTCTGTTAAATCATTGCTGCTGACGCCATTACGTGGGCAGGGAGATCGCCCCAGTAGCGCAACACCCATATGTGACATGCATGGATCTGTCACGGGTAACGCAACAACAGAGGGTGCAAAGAAACATACTACCAAAATTAAAGCTGCTTGGATGGACTTGCCGAACCGAACTCACTCTAGTACCTCAATTGTAGGCAGTAGTTCTGGAGAGCTTAGTATATCGGCCTTCCTTACTGCATCCAATACACCAAAGGTACGAAAATCTGAAGTTTCACTTGGTTTTCCAAGGAATGGTGTTCCTGTGGTAAAAATATTTCTCTGGAGTCTGGGGATGAGTTAGAAAAAAAAAGCAGCAACCCTGTTTACATGGTAACCGTGGTGAAAACTAGTAATACCATGGCAACAACTCATATTACCATAGCAACAAACTCTTTCCAATACTTCCATCAATAATGGTTAATACGTCCATCGCTATGGTTACCACTAAGATTACTATGGTAACCAACATTACTATGAAAAACCCATATTATTGCAATGGGAAAATAATGTTTTTTCTTGTGTGTTTTATGGAAAATTATTGATTTTACTGCCTTTGTTTCAGCAGAGGGTACCAACAACTGACATCATGACTCCACTTCGAGAAATTTCTGTAAATAATCGCAACACAACACAACAGAATAATCACTCTGGTGTCCCATCTTCCTTGGAGACACCCAGCAAACAAGCCAAACGTGAGTCAATCTCAGGGCAAAATAATATACTCAATTTTTTCTCCATTTCACTCCGTATGGCGGCATTTTGCTAATGTACTAAATTCTCTTGTTTCTATAGTTACAGAGAAGGCACCACACAAATATGGCGGGAAACCTCCAACTTCAATGATGCCTAAAAGGTATGAACTTCTGTCAACTAGTTTTACTAAAGGAGAAACTAGCTAAAAACTAGTGTGAGTTGCGTCGTTGTTTCTAAGCCCCTGGCTAAACGAGGAAACATGTTTCCAGAAACATGTTTACCGCGCGCATGTTTCCTCGATGTTTCCCAGTTTAGCCACATGCCAAACATTGCTGCGTGCAACAAATTTTGCTTCCAAGATGCAAAAAATGTTTTTGCTGTGCGGCAGAAACATTTCATGTTTCCAAGACGCATGGAAACATTGTTTCCCGACGCTTCCTGGCAGTTTTGCCACCTTAAGAAACATTTAGGGAAACATGTTTCCTCGTTTGGCCAGGGCCTAATGAAACAGTAATGATAAAAGGGTAAATTTTACATCGTGAAAATATGAAAAAACTTACTGTTGTTTCGAACGTTTGTCCTTTGTCGGAGTAAAAGAGGACTAAAGATTACTAAAGGACTAAAGTGGACTAAAGGCTTAACTCATTTTGTTACTAAACTCTTCAATTCCAGGATGGCTTCTTCCAAAGAAAATCTATATCCAAAGACCAAGACCTTGAGGAAAGCAACCAGCACCAATAATTTGAACACAAACAACTCTTCCAAGGTTCAGAGGCATGTCAATGGATTGAAGCGAGCAATAAGCTCATCTGTGTTGAATAGGCCAAGAAACTTTGCTCCTCGTTCAACGTAAGTATTTATATTTGCTAAGCTTTCCATAGATTAGAAAGGAGACTGGTAATGAATAGACACCTTGCATGCGACATCAAACCAGCTCAATTTGGAGGACAAAACAAAAGAATTTCAATCTCAAGAGAACTGGAAACCTATAGTTATGTCCGACATGCTGCAAAGGGGCCAATAGACATCTTCAGCTTGGGGTAATGTTTTCCCATTTCAGACCACGTGTCATTCCTTTGAGAATAAGATTCTTTGTTTGGGCTGTATCCATATTCATGTGTCTTCTCATGTGCAAAGAAATGATACTCTAGGGAATGACATGTGGTCTGAAATGGGAAAACATTACATCAGAGCCGAAGACGTCTATTGAAAATTGAGGTGGTGCGAGATATGCTTTCCTTGTCACCCACAATGTGAGTCTTCGTGCATAATTGTCAGTGATTTGTGACAGTAGATTAATTGAGCACATAGCCTCGCAAAAAAAAAAAAAAAAAAACAAGCAAAGCAAAGCAAATTTCTTTTTTTTTTATCCAGAGGTTCAAAAAATCCTTGCCTCATAGATGTGTTGCCATCTACCCCATGAAAAATCGCAATGGCATTTCTTTCGTGCTTCCTAATTGTGCCAGAGCAAAATTGCAGCGTTCTTATCTAAATATTTTAATAAAGACTAGACATACTCGTATCGCAATGAATTGTGGGGCCGAGGCTTGGCTGCTAAGTTGAATCACTTCCTTGGCTGAGTCTTGAAGAGGAATACTTGTTCACTTTGAAATATTTGTTCTTTTTTGAACTTCTAGTCCCGTGAACATGCAGTATACCATGATATAAGACTGTTAAAGTGAATAATATCAGTCCAGGCTACATGTAAGTGGACCAACTTAGCACGTAATGACCAGATTCTGACTTCTTATTAACCGCCACCCGGCTAGCTCAGTTGGTAAGAGTATCGGTCTGTTGTGCGGGAGGTCGTGGTTCAAGCCTCGGCCGGACCAACACTCAGGGTCTTAAGATAACTGAGGAGAAGGTACTGCCTTTGTAAGAGGTTAGACCTTCAAGTCTTCTCGGACAAGGACTTAAAACCGTAGGCAACCTACGGTAAGATGGGGGACATAAAAGAACCTGTTGAATTATCTCTATAAGAGTAGGGGATTGTCTCCCGGTTCAACAGCCTATACCAATCTGGAGGCATTAATACTAACTTACTAACAAATCACTCATGATTGTAAGCTGCACGGCTGCTACTAGCGCCTAAATACGCAGTCCATTAAGTCCTCCACTGGTCATGATTGTGAAGCGCATTGAGACCATGTAAAATGCGCTATATAAGAACCCTGTTATTATTATTACCATGACTCTCTTGTTGTTGTTTCCTGAAGCATGACTTCATCACATTTCCTCATTACCAACAAATATTAGCATTGTGGGGCTATCTTAAGGGAAATATTTCCAACCTCATCAGAATTAATAATACAGCTTGTTCCCAACCAAACAGCAACCAAACTAGTTTACAATACAAAAGGACTGGAGATGAGGAACTACTGCAGTTTACAAACGTTTTCCACGCACTCATGAGATCACCGGTCTGTAGTGAACACATTTCCGATTCGGATAGCTATGTTACTACCCTGCGAGCAGAGTCTCCTCAACTCCTCTACGCCCGTATAGGAGTTAAAAGGAGACTCTGCTCGCAGGGTACTATGTTACCGGCTCCTACAGCAAATTCTTATCCGCTTCTCTTAATGGGATTTCTCTTCATTTATATTTTACAGGCAAGAGACATCAAAGCGAGATCGACCACGCTGGCAGTAGAAGAATAAGCACGAAAGTGTTGTCCCTAAACCCCATTAGATTTTCGCCGTCATAAATTCCATTATTTTGTAAATAAGACATATAATTTTAGTTCCATTTCTGCAAATTTTTATTAAGAAACGATTAACTAGAAACATCTGTAAGATTAAATAGTGTTTGAAATAAATGTTAACATCGAATTTGAGGTAGTTTATGTTTTTTTTATGAACACTGCGCTTGTTTATGTCGGGGATAGAATCGCCAAATCCAATAGAAAATTCAACTAAATTTGCTCTTAGCGAAACAGTTTAATCTAAAATGGCCTGGTTTTCAGATATAATATGTGTTAATATGTACTAAAAAAATATTCTGAGCGTTTGCTAGCTATTCTACTTCTCTTCGTGGAATGATACGGGTTTTAGAACAATTTTCGGTTAGTTTGCGTTGATTTGACCCCGTCCGACGACCATGATCCTTTGCGTTTAAACAATAGATTGTTGAATATGGTTTTGATGTGACGTCATAGTGAAGTAAGGCAATTATTGTGTAATGTTATTTTATTTTTGTGTGCAGATATAAATAACACGGAGATTGGCGAATTAAGAGAGAAGCCTTGGGAAAAGCAGGACACGTAACTTCTTATAGCCAGGATATAATTCATGTCTAAAACCCAAAAAACCGTATGCTTGCATCCTATAGAGATCTTAAGTTCGTCTCTATCATTGCAAGCTCACCGTTCGTCTCGCTTCGATGCAAAGGTACGGCTACCTTTCAAGATGGCGCAGGGAACTGTGAAGGGGACTATTGGGATTGGATGGGTGGGTTACAAGATTGGATTCAATCTTGCGTTCCCTATCTAGTCTCATGATTCTCTGCGCCAGAGGTTGGGTCAAGTAATAATTGACCAATTTCCAGCAAATAATAATAAAATTAAATTTGAAATTAAATTAAAAAGAAAAGAAAAGAAGCCAAAGTTCGCAGGTCTCCTAATTTCATACTTACATGAAAAGGGAAACGTTTTTAGAACAAAACCTGATTCATCCAATGAAGTAATTCACTGGTAAATAATTGTTCCAGGTGTGAACGTGAAAATGAATTATTGAGATCATTTAACTTGCTGCAAACGTCTTCTCGTGAGAAGTGCACACCTAAGATAACAAGAAAGAGAACATTTGAATTGATGGTTTTCACGGCGGCCATGTTGGAGGAACTTAACAAAAGATTCGTCATTAGTCTCTTTCGTAATATCCTCGAACATGGCCGCCGTGACTTTTGTAATTACATTCTCTTGAGAATGATTGCAAACCATCAATTTTGTCAAGTGTTGTTTTGTAGGTTGGTGTCATAATTAAAAACTAAATGTTTCTTCAACCATAAGGAATTTATTTTCCAAACTTTTGGTATCTTCAGGGATTAAGAGAGAATTCTTTTCGTATTCAAGCAGTGAGCGCCAAAAACTATTTTCTTGAAGAAAGGCTGTTGTACAAGGCTAAAGTCTTGTTATTCAGAAGTTTAACTTGTTTGGAAGTGGAGATGACCGATGAAAGTGGAATCAAAGTGTTAACCCAAAGCAAAAATTTTATTCGAAAATGAGGTTTGGGCCTTCATTTGCATATTTTCCCCATATATTTTCTATAAAAAAGCCTTACAAAGCAACATTCTAACACAAATGCAACAAAACATTTAGCATGACGTTCTTGCTAGGTGCCGCAAACATGAAGCTGCAGTTCGACGTCATGCGTTTTCCGCCAAACGTTCTACATTTAGCAAGGCGTCATAACGAAGTTGTTGCTGGAAGAGCCGCCATATTGAATTTCATTGATGCCGAGTTTCTCCGTGTTTGGGTGCGTGTTTTTGGTCCTGATTCCTAGCGATAAGTGTAAAACATGATGATTACATAGTGTCCGCGAGCTAAGTTGTGTTACCATGCGCACGAAGCTTAACTAATGGCAGATAACTTGGTGACGAACTTCTACCACTGTCTATTGCTACCACGACTCTAGCTACTTTCTTTGATGGTACCTTTGTTCTTTTCCAATGATCTTGGTGTCTTTCCATGATCATTCTCAAACTCATGAATATTTAATGAGGAGAAAACAAAGCAAATCACTACTGTGACGGTGGTTTGGAAATGTGTTCTTAATTTGCATTAAATTTCGTAAACTTTTTCTTTGATTTTCTCCAAGAAATATTCATGAGTTTGAGAAGTAATTTGAAACACTTGAGAGAGTTCTTCCTCCGATTTCCAAACACCTCAAAGTCAGTTAAAAAAACTCGGCCTCGTTTTTTCAACTCACTTTTCGGTGTTTGGAAATCGGAGGAAGAACTCTCTCGCGTGTTTGAAATATTACTTCAATACTCCCATTTCGAATTCGCCTTTGCTCAGTCTTAGCCTCGATTGTTTTTTTTCTTCCTTTTATTAAGATGCATTGTATAGTAAGGAATGTACGTATTACGGAACAATACAAATTGATTAAAATGCCAGGGGCTGTGGTTGAATAGCTGAACACTATGAAGCACAAACGAGACTAAGACTGAACAAAGAGAACTCGAAACTGGAGTGTTTTGATGTTTATTATGTTTTTTAACTTTATCACTCCGTGTCTTACCCTTTAGTTGAGTTGCAATCTGCTGCAACAATGAGTCCAAGTGCTTGTGTTCTAAATGGATTTCTATTTCTTCAATTATACCGTGAAAACACGTGAAGGAAATTGTCTGAAACATCAAATGAATTAAAAAATGACTTTTACAATTTTCGCTTTTCGATTGGTTGGTGGCGCGCGCGTTATTGCGAATTTGCGAATCCTGTCCAAAACAACGGCTATTTTAATTCGTATTTCATCGAAGAAATAAAACACCTGATTGCTGTGCTGTGGATAGTCATATCTAACTTGCAGAAAGACATAACACTCGAAGAGTGTTGATACGCTATGTGTCGTGGTTCCCCTAACACTTCTCGCATGTTTTGCCAGTCCCCGCGTGCTTTATAACAGCACACAGTGCGCGCACGCGTTTTGTATAAGAACTGCAAACAGGCATATCTCATAAAACAACATAAAATGCTCGCGGATTGGCAGACTCTGGCGCTGCTGGCTTGTCAGCAGTATATCTCACTAATTTGTGAAGAATATTGATCCACTATGCGTCATGCTTCTCATAACACTTCTCGCGTGTTTTGCCAAYCCCCACGTGCTTTATAACAGCACACATTACTCGCACGCGTTTTGTATAAGAACTGTAAACAGTCATATCTCATAAAAAAAACATAAAATGCTCGCGGATTGGCAGACTCTTGCGCCTGGCTTGTCAGCAGTGTATCACACTAATATGTCAATTTTAAGCAGCTTACAGTGGGTCCAGCAGAGAGCGTCGTTGTAAAGGGTACGTTGAACCTTGGTGTCTTTCCATATATCCACTGCCAGGTCTACAGAAAGAAAGTTCAATATCAATAGGAACAAGATTTTTTCTATATAAAATAGCGCATTCTAGTCTCCTCCATCTTGCTTTGCCCCTCCCCACACCAACCACACACTTTCCGGTCAGTATTTCATCCTTCATGTCTGCTACACGTCCTGCTTCTCCTAACACTTCTCTCGTGCTCTGCCAATTCTAAGATGCTTTATAACTGCACACAGCACGTGCGCACGTTATTCTATTTTTTTTAGCACTTACTTGCAATCCCCTTGCATACTCAGAAATTCCTGGAAAATCCCTTTCAYTTGAAGGGTCAAATATCTGATATCTAACTGTTGGGTCACCCGTGTATGTCATGCTGTATTCAGATGCTATTTCCATGGCAACGTTATTAAATTCAAGCGAGGGTTCCACATCACACATGTTCTTTACTTCAGCTCGTACGCTGGCTGTAGCTTTGCTTGCTAGATTATCCTAGAAAGCAAAGATACGTTTAAGTAAAATGAATGGTAAAATGGCTTTAACTGTCACTCTAACTAGGGATGGGGTGATGGGGGAATTGGGGGTGGGGGGGGGGGGAGCAATTCCATTTCAGACCACGTCATTTCCAAGAGTATCATTTCTTTGTTTAATGGTTGCACATGAGAAGACACATGAATATAGATACAACTCAAACAAAGAATCTTATTCTCAAGACCACGTGTCATTCCCTAGAGTATCATTTCTTTGTTTAATGGTTGCACATGAGAAGACTCATGAATATGGATACAACTCAAACAAAATATCTCATTATCAAGGGGATTACATATGGTCTCAAATGGGGAAACACTACCTAAATACTTACATAAGTTGGTTGAAGTAATTCATTTAGTCTTTTGGTATCTACATCAAGTAACAATGTACAGTGATGATAGGTTGATAACCTTCCAAGTTTAGAAGATGTTCCTGATATTTGTTAAAGTGTTAAAGATAATTAAATGATATCAAATAAATAAGTGATTCAGTAATGGATGGTGGGGACAATCACCATCAACATCATCATCACCATCATCATTATCATCATCATTAATATCATTACCACCATCATCATCATAATCTTCATTGTCACCACCAACATCATTATCATCATCATCATTACCACCACCACCATCATTTCCATCACCACCACCACCATCATCATCATTATCATCACCACCAYCATCATCATCATAATCAACACCATCATCATCATCACCATCATCATCATCATCATAATCAACACCATCATCATCATCATCTTCATTATAACCACCATCATCATTACTAACATTAACCTCATCATCACCACCATGGTCATTATCCCAATCATTATCATTGCTACCATCATCATCACTATCATTAACACCATCATCATCATCACTATCACTAATTAACTGTCAATATAATCATTTAACATTATAAAGGATATTTTATATTTATTTTCTAAATATATGTCATCTCTTGGAGTAGCCTGTACATCAATTTTCCATCTGTTTTTCAAAGCCTTTACGATAAGCGCTAGATTCTCTTTTCTGTCATACGATGATCGATTACTGAAGAATGTGATATTCAAATTGCCCAAATCCTGTAAAGTTAACATACAAATTCAAAATACAGTAATTTTCAATATTATGTGAACTTGATAGTCGCAAGTTGCCTGTCGGCTTTCATTTTTTCTACTGGCACCAGTCTTCAATGTTAAAGAAACTAACTGATTATTTTTCATTGACAGCAATGAAAAACCATATTTCAGCAGACATCTTGAAACTACCAAATTTGTGAAATATATACAGTAAACAACTAGTTGCTATTGAAYATAATCTCTTACATGGTACACTGTTCCTCCACCACTTTTTCGTCTTGCTAATCCAACACCATTGCCTTTGAGTTTCTTAAGATTACATTCAAGCCATGGATTCTAAGAGTGAAAAATAACAGAGATTTGTTTTAATTCTTAGTTGTCATTAAAAAGAGTGTAGATGAGAACAGATATTTTCCATTGATATATCAGCTACATCGGTTCACTTTTCAAACACAAAACATTCAACCGGCATTGCAAGGTTCAAATGCCATTACCGGGGGGGGGGGGGGGTACTCCCATATATGGACTATACGGGGATGATCAGCTGAACAGGGTATGGTTTTTCGAGCTTCTTGTCATAAACAGGGTATGCGATTTCACTCAAGTTCCAAGTTGATGTATGGAAATTAAGAATTGAATAAAAAAAAATTACCTGGTGTCTACCAATTACAATCTGAAAATAAAAAAGGAATAAAATAAATTAAAAAAAAAAAATTCATCAATGCCAAATTTTAAATTTATATAACTTTATATATCTTTATATTTATATAACTTTATATAACTTTATATTTATATAACTTTATATAACTTTATATAAATTTATAAATTTATATAACTTCCTGCAAGCAAACAGACTTTTACTTAAAAATTCATAGTTCAGAAGGAGGCCTACCCTAGAGTGACATCATAAGTATCTGATCAGGTCAGGTCTTATAAGGTATTTGAAAATGTCAACATATGTTCTTACTCCTCTAAAGTATCTCATGATCCACTTACAGCAGGAGGCAAGTGGGTGGAGCCAAGAGGAGATGATGATGATAATAATGAGGAGATGATGATGGTGATGATGATTACGGAAGTAGTGATGATGATAGTTGTGATGAGTCATGATGACAATGTTGTTGGTGATAAATGCAATCATGATGGTGATAATTATTGTGGTCACTGATGTAATGATCATGGTGAAGGTGATCATGATGCTTATCATTTTGATGGTAATAATGAGGATATCGGATCACAATGGTGATGATAACAATGCATGATTCTGGATGTTTTTACACAAACAAAAGCTTCACAAAGAAGCAGCTCTAATTTTTTGTATCAGATACTTATCTAATCCAAAAAGGGTGTTCAACATCCCACCCCAACCCCCCAAGAAACATCCCTGATTTCACGATAAAGCCATTAAAGTCTACAGATGTCACTTCCTTACCGTTGGCTTGTTTCTCCAAAGAAAAAGAATTCTTTTTTGTGCTAAATCCACCTTTTCATAGACCCTAAAAACAATCAAACTTTGATTATAAATGAAACACCATCAATCAAGACCTCAAAATTACAAACAGTGTAGACCACTTTCAGAATTATTTTGCACGCAATGCTGACAGGAAAAGCCAAAAGAAATCACATTTTTCCCCCAGGGGGGTACTCTTGCCCGTTTAGGGTAAGGATGTGCTGCTGAGCCCTCTGAACCCTGACCCTGTTCCAGAGTAAAATCACTGAAATTCATACCCTGTTCCAGAGCAAAATCGCTGAAAACTATACCCTTTTCCAGTAGTGTGAAAATAGATACCCTGTTTGAGAGAGGAGAGAGAGAGATTTCATATACCCTGTCCCAGAGCGAGAGCAATTTTATATACCCTGTTCCAGAGTAAAATTGCTGAAAACCATACCTAGCTGTTTGGCRGCATGTACCCATATAGCGTATATAGGGCAGTACCCCCCCTCCACTCCTTCCCCCCCAGGATTTTTCCAATGTAATTTTTTTTTTTTTTTACTTTTACCCTTGCATCCAATATATTGTATTCTGGAAGAGGTTTATTTACGAAAACAAACTTACCAATCTTCAAAAGCTAAGTTTTCAAATGGATCATGGCTTACAGAGAGATAGATTGACACCTTAAAAAGAATTTGTAAGCTGGTAAAGACAAGGCACTTTTTAGGGGGGGTGGGGTTGGGATATTTCCTTGACATTCCTCCCTACCCCTACCCCTATCATCCCCCTTTGACTGTAGTCTCAACCTTAGTTTTTTGTTATACCTATCGTAAACTTTCCACATGAAATTTGGCTATTTTATTTTAAAATTACTTAAACAATATATAAGATTCAAGCATCCACTTCGCCACTTCACCAGATTTAACCTTACTTTTGCTCGCCTGGCCTATGTAAAAGTATAAATAATAAAAAATCTGCATTAAAAAATATTCTCACCTCCTTTGCATGCGAAGAGTATGCTCTGTAGCTCATACGCAAACAAYTAAGCACATAAAATTTCATTTTAGGATTAAATATTTAATTTTGAACCACTAATACTAAGAGCGCATTTTTTCTTCCCGTCCGCCATTTTGATAAGCGGGAGTAAGTCCAAGCACAGGGAGCCCAATTTAGATTAAAGTGAATGATGAAAATAAAATCGGAAAAAATAAATGATTAATACATTTTTTAAATTTGAGATCAAGATAATGTCCTCCGTAATACGAAAGAGGAAACAAATCGATAAAAAATGCACTAGAACATTTTTTTTTTTCGCGCGCGCCTTTGTTTCCCTATGGTATCTGATGTCGATCTTATGTATACAGTCAATTCAAAAAACGTTGTCGTCGACCGGCTCAAGCCTACGCGACTGGACCGAAAGGAATATGGGTAAAAATCACTGAAGCGGTTAAATATTCATTCTGAATTAATTGTTCCCGCTAGGAATAAAGATAATAATGGCGAGAAACAATCCATCAAATGCATGTCTTTGGGCAGGAAAAGAAAAACAAAGTAGTTATGATTCAGTTCACAATTTCGAAAATATGAAGGCATTAAAAACACGTCTCCTTCGACACTTCCCGCTCGCCTACGAAGGTTTGTGCTGTAAACCAGGCATAACTAGTCAGATAAAATTATGCAGTCAACTCGGCTTCAATGATTGCTACCCAGAGTTCCTTTCGGTCCAGTCGCGTAGGCTTGAGCCGGTCGACGACAACATTCTGGGAAACAAAAGCGCGCACGAAAAAAAATATCCTAGTGCATTTTTTTATCGATTTTTTTACTCTTTCGCATTACGGAGGACATTACCTTGATCTCAAATTTTAAAAAATATTAATTATTTATTTTTTCCAATTTTATTTTTACGATTCACTTTAATCTAAATTGGGCTCCCTGTGGTCCAATAAGACTGGACAGGGCGCGTTCGCGAGGCTTCTGATGCTGAAAATCAAAATGGCGCGAGGAGGAACGGAGTTGTTCGTGGGAAGACTATCTAAAGAAACTAAGCAAAGAGACCTTGAAAACGTCTTTTACCTTTACGGCAAGCTTTCTAGATGCGATATCAAATACGGTGAGCTTATTTTTAATCCCTTTATGCCTTTGATTCGCAGAAATTTTTCGTTTTTGCGAGCGTTTTTGAGTGAAGGCGAAGGGACGCTTTGGTTAGCGTTGTCTTGAATAAGATCGTTATCTCGCCTCTGATGCTCTGAAAACCTTCCCTTCAAGCTGGAAAGATACTCTTGAGTCAATCTCAACCCCACTTGTTATCATAGATTAGCTTTTAGTTAAATTTTTTGGTGATTTTAAATCAAAATGAAGGGTTTTACGAACAACCTTCATGCTGTCATACAACCATTCATACCATTCTGTGATAACAGTAGTAAAACCAATGATCTTGTCTATATTTTTTATAAAAAGTTCTCACGAATTTAGCCATTTTTATACTTATCCTAGTTCGTTCTTAAAACATCTCCTGAGTCTTAAGATTTATTTATACAAATTTTGTAAAATCTCATGTTTTTTTGCGGGTGGTTTGAGTCTAGCTTAACTTGTTGTAGTTATATAAAGAAACAACAGAAGTCGATGTTCTCCACGCTTTATAGTCCAACCAATTTGTAAAATATAAAGTATAAATAATTTAAACTTATTTTTCTTTAAGCTCTACAGGCTGTAAAAGCTGTATTTCAGGTCAAAGGTCCAGTGATTATAACTTACTTAAATTACATCTTGGTACTGGCAACACCCCCCCCCCCCTCCCATGAAAATATAAAGAAAATTTTTAAATCATTATTTTTTTTTAATGATTATCTATTAAATGTTTATACAAAGAAATTTCTGGTAATGACAAGGAGACAAAAAGTCTGAAAATTCTTGACGCTTAACTCTGTTTCGGTTTTCCTTAATTTAAAATATTTTGAAAAAAGCTAATGGTTGAGAGGTTATGAAAATAGAAAAAATCTTTTGTTTTGACCCATGAAAATTGAGGGCAGAAGAGGTCAAAATTGTTCTGGAACTTTACCTCCGATTGATTTCTTACCTCCAAAAACTATGTAAACATAATTCTATATTTTAATATTTTTTGGAGTTTTCAAGATTCTGAATCTCTGTAGAAATGCTCYGCCTGATTGTTCGATAGTTCTTTGATACCTGCTTATAATAACGATATTCACCTTTAGTTCTAGACCATTTTGTATAGAACCTGCTTTAGTTTTTGTCATATTCTTCATTGTAAAGCTTCATGTAAAACCCTAGTTCATATATAATTTTTAAAGATGTTTAAAAACATGGCCACCTGTCCTACTTAATTGTATTTTTTAGTTTATTGTTCTTGTAAAATCAACAACTGGTGTAAGCCATTGATTTAAATTTCTCCAATTTGGGATCCTAACCCAACTTTGCCTTGAAAATCTCCAATTTTGGGCATAACCTTGACCCCTTTTCTAACAACTAAAACTAGTCAGTTTTGGGCACAAACCCAACCAAAAGTTTACTTCATTTCTAACAAGTATTTCTAACAAATCTCACACCTTTCCCATTAAATGCAGCTATTTTTCATCTGGCCTACAATTTCTAGATCCTTTATGAGTTAATATTTCCATTTCATTTCAATCTTCTTTTCTCTTCCCACCTAAATTTCTCAGCAAAGTCCTGTCAAAGACTGAATGTATTCTGCTTAGAGAGACTTCAAGTGTCTTTTGAAAAGAACTTGGATACCTGTTCTTTTTTTGAACTTTTCAATTCAAAATTTCTCTTCAAAAACTTGCTTTTTGACAGTTACCTGTGTCAGTTATCTGACAGCTACCTGAATATAGAATAAACCCTTTTAAAATTTGAATGAAGCTTGAACCCATTGTGTTTTGATCAAAAGTATAACCTTCCTTTTAGTAACAGAATTTGCTTTTCTTGAGCAAACTAATTGGCCCCAGTACCACAAAAATAACCTAGAAAATTATCTGAGAACGAATTTGAATTTTATCCATTTTGGGGCTATATTTGATAATATTTTCTAAATGTTGTATTGCTTTTGTTCTTTTTTTATGTTGGCTTTTGTATCTACTTGAACAACAATAGGAAGAGAAAGGGGTGAGTAGTTAAGTCTGCTTTAAATATGTTGTTTCATTATGTAATGAGAGAAGCTGAGTGGAGTTATAGAGCATAAAGGATGAAAAATGAATATAAGTGTTGGTTGTCCTTTTTAGAATGTGTAGTTCCAGAAATTATCAGAATTTCTGAAGAGTAGGGATCAGAAAAAGAACAAAAATTACAGAGTTTGTATGAAAGAAAATTGGAATTTTGGGGGGTAGGGGGGTAGGGGGGATCTTTAAAAAATTCCTCCTTGAGGGGGCTATGGATAATTTTTGGGAGTACACAATCCTACAAAATGAATCACACTTTTTAAAATCATTATTCCCCTAAATAAAATTTCACTAAATTAAACTGATGGGAAAGAAATAACTGCTGGGCAGACTGTCTCAGGACATGATGACTTATGCCAGCATCACTGGGTTTAAAAAAATCAAATGCATTTGAAAAAAATCAAGTTCATTCATTAAATATTAAATCATGTTAATGTATGCATAATGTATGGTTCGGTGGCTGTAATGTACAAAGCATTTCATGTGTACGAGTGGCTGCTTTTATCGGCTACTTGAGAAGGGAGAAATGCAAAATAAATGGAAATATTCTTTCATTTTGAAGTCTCATAATGTGTCTTCTTAATGAATATTTCCAACATTTTTCAGTAAATGTCTATATACTCTGAATTATTTTTTGCATTTAAGTGAAGCCTAGTCTATGATGTACCTAGTATTTTATTAGGTAAAAGAGTCCCTTGATAGCTGACCTACAATAATTTTTTTTCACAGCTTATGGATTTATTGAGTATGAAGATCCCAGAGATGCTGAGGTACTGTTTGAAAAATTATTTTGTGATTAATTTTTTATTTACAGGGTCTTTCTACACGCTAAAATCCTTGAAAAGCTCTGAAATTTAAAATCTGTCTTTAAAAAATCCCTCAAAAAAGGAGTCTAAGAAAAGTCCTTCAAAATTTTGACTGTTTTATGCATTTTGATTGTTATGCATTTTTTAAAAAAATTTCTATTATAACAATGTCTGGTAATTTTTTTATTCTTGAAATTTTCTACAGGATTGTGAATGTTAGCAGTATCATTAAAGTTCATCATTTTCGTTCTTGTTTGAAATCCCTTAAAAAAGGAGTCTAAGAAAAGTCCTTCAAAATTTTGACTGCTTTATGCATTTTTGATTGTTACGCATTTTAAGAACATTTTCTATTATAACAATGTCTGGCCCTTTTTATATTCTTGAAAATTTTTAAAGGATTATGAATGTTAGCAGTATCATTAAAGTTCATCATTTTCATTCTTGTTTGAACAGGAAGCCTTGAGAAGAGAAAATAACAGAAAACTCTTTGGATCCAGAATCGTTGTTGAGTACGTGAAAGGTAAAGAACGAGGAGGTCCGGTAAGTAAAACCATGCCATTACTTGTCTTACATGAAATCCTTTAGAATTATTATAATAGGTTCTAGGGTGCTAAATATCTTAGGTATTAGCTATTCCAAGATTAAGAAAAAGACTGGGTCAAGTTGGCATTGAATTGCATTGTTGGGCTGTTTGAGGGGAGATATTTCCAAGATTGTGTCTGTTCTGCCCAAACCATATAAGTAATTTTTTTTTTTCGACTACTGCCTATTAAACAGAAAATTTTTTAGTAGCTAACTGTAAAGGCAGGTTTAGACGGTATGATTTTCGCCTACAACTATCGTATACAACACACTCGCGCCATCTTGCAACTCAAGTCATAGTGTGTAAATCAAGCCTACGACTCACCTAAGACAGACGTGAGCGTGTTGTATACACAAATTATAGGCAAAAATGGTACTGTCTAAACCGGCCTTAATAGCCTGGGGCTAGAAAAGACATTTAAACTTTCTTGCATGTGTTTGACCAGTGTAAATTTGTCCAATAGAACTTGGGATATTAAGTAACTTATTAAAAAGTGCGTTCGCCTCTAACTCACAAATGCGACCGGGATTTATTTCCCAGGCTCGATCATGTGATTAGAATTTTGTTGTTGGTTCTTGAGAATTTTTCTCTGGGTTTTCTGCTTTTCACCCTCTGTAAAAAATATTAATTAAGTTGTAACCTTGTAAAGCAAGGAATAGTTATTTTTATATAATTATTTTATGGTTTATCTGTACAAAGGCTGGTGATGAATGCTTCAAGTGTGGAAGACTAGGGCACTGGGCAAGCAGCTGTACAGTATCAAGAGGTGAAGTAGAGACATGGTTACAGTAAACACTGGGGTTGACGACAATCACACTACATTTATGGTATAATGGCCAGTCACCGATGTGCCGAGCCACAGTCCCCCCAGGAACCAACACCCTAAATCCTCCGTCTTGTAGATTGTTGCACCTTGAAAATCATCCTTCATCAGAATGCTTTTGTTTACTCAGATCTATCGACCCTTTATGCCGCCAGAAATCCTAGTAGGTTGATGTTTGGTGGTCTTTGCCAGCCCTCACATCAATCCAAACCAAATTCCAAATTTTCCAGAAAAAGTGTTTTCCAGGAAATGATTGACAAGGGCCTAGGACAACCACCACCATGTTTTGCCCCATTCAAGAGTTTGGTGTGATGTTATTATCATGAATTTAGCCAGGGTCCCTTACCAGAGTTATAGCAATGTCCAGGAAGTATTGAGAAAATTCCAGCTTGATCTGCGCTGTAGCAGGTGATCGGTATTCAAATGAGGTCTTTTCTTTCCACGATACATGCCCCAATAGAGTATAATGGCTTGACTTGCCCCCACTCATCTCACCCATCACTCCGACATCCATATATACCTTGCATCTCGCTTGCATCAGCAACAACATGATAGCAACAGAGATGGCCATTGAATGAAGCAATATCTAACTCACAGTAGAGTCCTTCAGATAATACCAGGAGAAATATTTTGACGTGAGAGTCTGCAAAACCCAATGTGGACCTCTGCTAGTGCCGTCAATACCAACTCAATGCCAAACTTCCAGATTTGGTACCTTAACCGTCTCGACATCCGTGAGATTTGCTCCAATCGATCCAGCCAATGAAGGAACAAGTGGATGAAAAAGAGGTCATCCAAAAATGATTCTTGATTCTTTGCCCGCCATCCTTAAACCCCTCCCAGAACCATGTCAACCAGATTGTCTGCCGTGAGAAGCTTCATTTCTGATGTAATCCAGATTTTGAGAGAAAGTTAAAATTCAAATGCCGGAAATTGAGGAATAAGAGAAGATATCAATTGCCATGCCATACTATTACTTCAATCCCTAAGATTTTCAATTCTGACTAAGCCTAGATTCGAAGGGAAAATATGTGTATGAATGAAAGAGATGAGTCATGGAATCAGACCAATGCTTCAAAGCCATGTTGCTGAGTCCTCAAATTAAAGGAAAAAATAAGGTCTCCAGTTGTTCCCAAACTAGCCAAACCAGATCAGACTAAGTTTTTGAGTAGAGAGATTGAGTAGCCCTCACATTTCCCAGCCATTTTTGATCCTTGCTGGAACACCATACCATCAAAACAAAGTCTGAAATCCGTTAACTGACCAGACACACCCCAGCCGGCCAGACAGAATTCCAGGTTATTGAGTGGGTATGGGAGGATCTGGTCAAAATACCGAACTAAATGAGGTATAATTATGTATATATAATTCCCAGCTTTAGATCAGGGGATAATCCACTTGCCATGATCATTTCATTACTTGTTAGTCATAGATATTGCCGAAATCAAGGTGGTAGACCACCCCTCTCCCCCTCCCCCCTCCTAGGAAGGGTATGGATATTCTTTGCTTCTGTCATTCTAATTTTGCTGTTTGTTTATCTACTCTCCTAGAAACAAATTAGAGTTAACCATTTATTTTGGCAAACAATCCATTACTCGTAATGATAATGATCATGCATATTTTGTTCAAATAACTGGTTTATATATGAGGATTTACCTATCTTTGATTCTTACATAATTTACCTTTCAAGCCATGTTATAGTAATCATTCTTCCTTCAGTTTCCAAACCTGAAACCTTTTCTAATTTAATTTTTTTATTTATGTTATTTCAGACGATACAGATGGTTTTCGGGGCTCTGGAAGGCATGCCAGGTTAGTAGTTTAATAATAAATAATAATAATAATAGGTATTTTATATAGGGTCAATACCGCATGACTTCAACAATGCTTTACAATATATTGATCATAAGGAAAGAAATTTGGATAAAACTGAAAGGTAGGTTTATATTTGAAGCTTAAATCAAATTTATTAAACATATTAGTTTAAATTGATCATTAAACTTATCTAGAACTACAATAATGTACATTTCATCCATTACATAATATTACATTTCATACTACATATTGCATATAAAGTTTTAATATGAACATTGTCGTTTAGCAATGTCATTAGACTGGAAATAGTCCCTCGTTACTTCAGACTTGTTACAGCTCTTGATAACAACTTGATAAATTCATTCTAATTCATACATGGAAATGTCTTATTTATTCCAGACCCTCACCAGCAATACTTTTGAAGCGACCACCGCCAAGCCGCTATAGATCTCGCTCAAGATCACCAAGAAGATTCCCTAACCCTCCTCCTCGAAGGCGCCGCTCTTTAAGCCCCCCAAGAAGGCCACGCCCTCCACCCATTAGCCGCAGCAGGGATAGGTACCGACGATAGATATTAGATAGAGTTTACTGTTAGTCATTTAGTTCAGTAGTTTAGAATCTACTTTTATTATTGGCCTAAGGAATGTCTCTTGAGCTTCTGTATTTTTCTTTAACAACTAAAATATTGTTGTAATCAGATGTAGTTTTGTTTGTATTTTGATCACCTCGTGCATCAAAGCAGTGGAAAACTAGATGTTTAGGAACAAATTTCATATATCAAAGCACGTGTTAAGCATAAGATATTCAGTAGAATAGTTAGCTTCACAGTTCCCTGCACCTTCTTGAAAGGTAACTGTGCCTGTGCTTGGAAGTGAGAATGGCAGTGAACATGCAATGATAGAGATGTGAATAATTCATTACAGATTCAAATAAATTGAAGTTCTGACCACTATTGTTTCTTAATCTTGAAATTAAAACTGCTTGCTTTCTTTTTAACTCGTGGATACGAGAAGCATAGAAATGAGTTACTGAGAGGGGTGTGGTCATCCAACTCCAACTCGCTAATTAAGAAATTAGGCTCAATTAACAGTGTCCCACAGTACTTTTATGATTGATAAACTGATTGGGAAAAGAAGAAGAGAACCAGCTCCCTTTCCCTAAAGATATTCCATTTTGGCTATGAATTCCACTGAACTTAAGGGGTGCAAAAATGCAAACTGAATTTATACTTGTTTTCCTAACGAAGATAACAGTTTCGATCTTGATCCAGTAATTTCAATTTTCTTCCATACAAACTTTGTAATTTTGTTGTTTTTTCTGACCCCCCCTACCCCTCAGTATGACATTTTCCCAATTTGTTCACACATTTTTCCGTCATTATTTATTGTGCATTGACGTTATTTATATATGAATATATAGTGGCAGATCCAGGAATTTTAGARGGGGGGGGGGGGGTGACTATTACAAAGGTTTTACCAGGAATAGTACTTAGAAAATTGAGCAAAAGCCAACCCTTCACCTGCCTCTGCATAAACATGACATTGGGTTCCCTGTGCTTTTTATTTGCATTACCGCTGTTAATTATAGTCGTGGGCTAAAATCACAGGAAGCCCATAAAACCTTTTTATCGTCATAGGAAGGAACGCCTGCTGAACTTATGTAATAATCTGGGACACTTGAATGGATGCGATCAGAAAGAACATATTTCGCAAATATTCTTAGATTTTATCTTGTTCTCATACATAATCATAGGGCTATAAAGGTATTTTCATTTGAATATGATTGTAATCTATCTTTGGTTGGCCTATGAAATTTGCTTGATCGTAAGGTATATGCTTACATCATATTTTTCTACTTGTCAAGACACTCGACATCTTCGTTTTGTCAGCTTTTTGGGATACTATATGACTGCCTCAAGCATGAACAGCGTTTATTTCTGACTTCGCGAGACATTTCCCTTCGTTTATATATTAAAGTTCATGTGAACTTAATTTCCGCAGATAAAAAGCCGATAATATAAAAGATCTAGCAAGAAATGGCTCTACTCAGATTGCACAATGGAAGCCGCTCAATTGCCGATAAATTAATTTTGAGAAATATTATTTATAAAGGTAGGTTCATGATTGTAAAAAATATTAAGTACTTAAGAAGTAAAGAACGTTAGGCAAAATATGGCAACCTCCACAACCCCTTCCCAGCAATGGTTTCTTGGGGACTTCATATAGATTTGTCCTGAGCTATAGTTTGCTCTTAATATCTGTAACATGTAACATTTTACCTTCACATTATCTCTTTCTGACTGCAACGGTTTTTCCAGTTGTCCAGTTTTTTCTCCCTCCTCTCAATTTTCATGACCCTATTTAAATTCAAACTGATTACAGCTGTTCTAGCTTCAGAGTCATACATGGACCGCATAGCAGTTGCCAGAGGAGGCCTCTAATTGCTTTCCATTGAGCTGCACCACTGTCGTACTTGCTCTGTTGAATAGTGATAACAATTTTTTTATTTTCCAGGTGTCATTCATCCTCATTCAAATTCTCGCAACTCAATAACTACCTTCTCTTCTACTCATGATTACGTCATCTGCGGTGCTGGCTCAGCAGGATGTGTTTTAGCCAATCGTCTTTCAGCAGATCCAAACAACGACGTACTACTGCTAGAGGCAGGACCAAGGGACTGGACTTGGAAGATTCACATGCCTGCCGCTCTGATCTATAATCTTTGTAATGACAAGTACAACTGGTTTTACCATACAGTACCACAAAAAAACTTGAATAATAGGTTTGTTAAAGAATCACAAGTGTCCAGACCTTGATAAACTCAAACGTTTCATAAATTTGTTTTGAAATTTTTAGCTCTTGGAGTCAAAAGTTTTCGTTATATATTTATCTTTTCAGGGTAATGTATTGCCCAAGGGGGAGAGTGTGGGGAGGTTCGTCTTCCTTAAATGCCATGGTATATATCAGAGGACATGCATATGACTATGATAGATGGGAAAGTGAAGGAGCTAAAGGCTGGTCGTATGCTGACTGTCTGCCATACTTTAAGAAGGCACAGACTCATGAACTAGGTATGTATATCCCATGAGGGTGGGTATGGGGAGATTTGTCACAGACACATAAACTAGGTATGTATATCCAATGGGGGCTGGGTATGGGGAGACCCAGACACATGAGCTAGGTATGCTTATCCCATGGGGGTGGGTATGGAGAGGCTTGTCACAGACACAGACACCTGAACTAGGTGTGTATACCCCATGGGGGTGGGTATGGGGAAGCTTGTCACAGACACATGAACTAGTATGTATATCCTATGGGGGTGGTCATGGGAAGGTTTGTCACATGAATGTTTTGTCAATACCATGGTAAACATTTTTTACTATTAGGTGCTGATGAATACCGTGGTGGTGATGGACCTCTACACGTATCCAGAGGAAAAACAAACAATCCATTATTCAGCGCATTTCTTCAAGCAGGACAAGAAGCTGGTTATCCGTTCACAGAAGACATGAATGGTTATCAACAGGAAGGACTTGGATGGATGGATATGACTATATATAAAGGTATACTACATCCATTTCAAAAAAGGCCACCTTAACCAAAGGATAAGTGATAGCAAATAAGCCATTCCAAGATCCTGAAGAATAGATGGAATGACTGGTGTTTGTCATTATTCTTAAGACGTGACGTTTTTTCCACTGCAAACCTTACATTCAATATCATGCCTAAATGCTAAAGCCTCAAAGATACTACACATCAACCAAATATATTTAGATGTATAAAAAATGCTATTTTTTTATTTGCATCAGTGAGTGCAAAAGGAGATATTGAGGTTAGCCCTATCGTGAATATCTCCTAGGATCGAATTAGAATTTAGTAGTTGGGAGGAGAGCCGGAGAACCCAAAAAGCCGTCAAGGCACAGGAGAGAACCAACAAACAACTCATCTCACATAGAACACCGAGCTTGTCGGACTTGAACCCAGGTGGCATTGGTGAGCGGTGCGGAGCGCTACGCCACCCATGCTTCCCATTAATGTATGCCCATAAGTTCTTTATATCTTTGAGTGACCTATTGCATTGCCTATTGCATTGCCTATTGCCTATTTCTTTTAGACTGTGAGAAGTCTCATAGCATTCTGACTTCCACATTTGTTTAGGAATGAGGTGGAACACAGCAAATGCTTACCTTAGACCCATTAAACGGAAGAGGAGGCGACACCTGAGAACAGAGACCAGAGCATTCATCACTAAAATACTGTTTGAAGGCAACAGAGCTGTTGGCGTAGAATATCATAAGGATAACCAAGTGAGCAAATGACTGGATTTAGTCATATGATCTGTGGGGAAATAATTGTACATGGTTAAAAAATAATTAGGCTGACAAAAGTCAGAGCACCGCTCATGTAACTCAGATATAGAACCCTACAACAACCTCTGAGCTAATCTAAGTCAGGGCATGGCTAACTCACAGATTGAACCCTGAAACAACCTCTGGGCTGATCTAAGTCAGGGCATGGCTAACTCACAGATTGAACCC